ATCACATTGCTGTGTGTTTTTGAAAGTTTTGATTTGGTTGGTTTAATGGTTAACATTACCTTCATTGCGAGCAGCATGACTCTCACTAGGCTTGTGAATTAGCAGAACTTGAACAGGGGACTTTCTAAAATGCTTAAAGTGGCTTAATGTACCAAGACAGTGATAAAGACAAAACTGTAAAGCATATACTATGTGCAGATATGCATATAAGATCAAAATGTGAACGCAACGCGTTTATTTACGTTAAGCATTTTCCTCTCATATAAAGAACGTGCTTAATGCGCTTAATGACAGTGATATTTAAAGACCACATTCTGTACACACATCTTACTAATACAGCATAATATGTGTGGAAAAACAGATGAGCCCAAAATATGAACTTTAGAAATCGCTCTTAGTCCAGAAGCTCTTTCTAGATTACTGTTTTCTAAAGAGAGGAAAACGCTTTACATTTAAACATGTCGCATTAATATTCTTGCTCATCTGCATGTCTTTTAGCACCACTGTCTTAGCACATTAAACCAGCATTTGAAAATGCTACAAAACTTTCCCCAAGCTCCTAGGGATTTGATTTTGCTTGTCATTTGTTGAAATAAATATAAAAAGTACAGTGAGTTCGTGACTGTTCGCTGAATGTGACCCACAATCTCTGATTCTCCTCCGTGGCCATGGAAAAATGAATATTTATAATGACATCAATTATACTTTGTCATTTAAAAGTTTCCAACAAAGAAATGGATCGACTTCTGTCAGCTTGTTGAACACACACTTTTATTTGGATAATCAACCATATGATGACTGAAGCAGCAGCGAGCGACACTGTATTCAAGCTAATCGGGTAAACACTGTAAACCAAATTCTACAAAACCTAAGAGAGAAATGCAGTGCATATCATGCAGTGCGATAAAATAGCTTCTCATCCCTGCAAACGATACAATGAAGAATGAATGGTTTAACTTAAAGGCAAAAGCAAAACAAAAGAATATAGCTGCAAGCAGCGATGGCGGGCCCAAGCCGTCAGTGCAAACGCCATCCCGGAGGCATCAGGAGAACGGTGCACAGCGGGCACATGCATTTACAGTAACCTTCCGGCAGTCGGGTTTTAAGGGATACGGCAATTAAAGAGTTAATCCAAACCATTAAGAATGTGAAACACACATACACAGAACAATATATAAAACTTTAGTAACACTTTACAATAAGGTTTCAGTTATTAACATTAACTATATTAATTAACATGAACAATAATTATATAGCATGTATTATTGTCAGTTAATATTCAAAACTTAAACATTAAAAAAACTGGTAACACTTTATAATAACTGCACACTATGAGTCATTAGTTAAGCAGTAGTAAATAGTCAATTCATCCTTTATAAAGCA